ATGGCATTGACATTTTTTGAAATGCGCAGGTCATTTATTTTGTGGAATGTTCCTCAGTTTGGTTATCTGATGTTCCCTCATGGTTAGAGTCAGATTACACTCTTTTGGCAAAAGTATCGCCGCATGATGTTATGCTCTGCTCAGTCTTTTATGTTAGGAGATACGTGGTGTCAAATTATCCCATTGCTGATGATGGTAACTTTGACTTCTTGGTCTAAGGTGTTGTCTGCCAGTTTTCTCTACTGTGAAGTTTCTATTTTCCTCTTTGTAAGGAAGTAATTTTGGAGAGATACTTTGGAAGTATGCAAACATCCTGTTACTCCTCCAATTGTCACCCACGGGCTTCAGCACTCATTGATAATTCCTGCCTGAATCAACCATTATTGTTATGGTTGCCAAGTGGTGATCTTCTAAATCCAATATTTTGTCTACTTTCCTTAGCTGGCTTTCTACTGTAAGGAAGATATTTCCCTTCTCCAGCATTTGCTTAGAATCATATGGACTCATGTGTATTCTTTTTCAATTCAGTGAAATTTAATCTTTACTGTGTTTATTTGCACTGATTTTCATATTGCACTATTGGCCACCTCTATTCATTTTCTAATTCTTTTTCAAAACCCACTTCTTTCAGAAGCCCGATCCGGTCCACTCAGGCTGGGCGAGTAGCTGACTCCTTTGTGTGCCTCTCGATTATGCATTTTCCTTTCCTTACACATGATACTTGTTGGGTACTTGTTTTTTTTGTTTGTTTGTTTGTTTCTTTGTTTGTTTTGGGGGAGGGGAGGTAATTAGATTTATTTATTTATTTTTTTAAATGGAGGTACTGGGGATTGAACCCAGGACCTCGTGCATGCTAGGTACGCACTCTACCACTGAGCTATATATACCCTCCCACTATTTTCACATTACATTGTGAGCTCCTCAGTATAAGGAAAACATCTCTATATCTTCTATGTTTAGTGCAGTGACTGGTGCAAGGGGGAAACTCAGTTCATCCTTATTAAAAGCATGAAAGAATGGAAGGAGAAAGAAAAACAGTGCTTAAATTTCTACCAATCTGCCTCAATACTTTTTTTGGTAGGGGGGCCACTAGCTCCAACCAGCAGAAAAGGAAATTATCTATTAACATTCATAGAGCGCTACTGTGGGTCTTGCAATAGCAAGGCCAAATCAACACGGATTACATTGTTGACACGTAGGAACTTAACAAAAATGTTTCCCCCCGATTGTGGGGGCTGCTTGCCAACTCTGATCTCATATCCTTACTCTCTCTTTACCATTAGCCTGATATGGTGCTATTTTTTCTATTGGTTCTTCATTCGTTAAGAACCTCTCTGCCCAAAGATGAAATAAAGGGATGTTATCTACGCTTCCATTGGAGGGGGTGAATCTAGTGGAAAGAGCCTGGCTCTTGATCAAGGGACCTGGGTTAGTGTCCTGTCTGTGCAGCTAGACATGCTGAATTTGGGTGGCTTATTACCCTCACTGGGTCTTTGCTTCCTTCACTCCGAAACAGAGATCCTAACACCTGTGATGCAAAGACATCTTGGGCTCCAAGTGAGGAAACCTGCTGAAATCCCTCTGAGACTCTGGAGTTTCTGAATCTTTACTTGATGGTCCACTTGTCTGAGATGACCTTCCTGGTTTATGCTGCCTCTTTATTGGCAAATCCCTCCTTATGTATATCCCTCCCTCTGGAGTCTCAGAACTCCACTTATGTTTCACCTCCTTGTATGCAGCCTCCTTGGATGACATACTGTACCCCTCAGATCTCTTGTTTTATCTGAATACAACAGAAAAATGTGCACTGGGGTATATACTTTCTGTTCACAAGCTATGCGCTGAGTGGCTCCCCTGAAAGGCACCTGGATGCTCATCTTGTGTCTCTTCGTGGTCCTGGCATTTGTTTCTTTGCATAGTAATGATCCCCCAGATAAACGTTTGTCTCTCAGACTGTGAAAGCATCCTTTGGCTCTTCCAGGTTCCCCCTTTCAGGATAAGCCACACTCCAAATCCTCATCCTTGGGCTTAGCCCCTGTATGAGACACACATTCCTGACTCACCCTAACCCTATGGATTTCCCCTAAATTTGGGAAGAAGAGAACTGTTGGAGATGGGAAGGTAGACTGCTCAGGCTAGACTGTGTGTCTTAAAATAAAAAGGTAGCAAATGTGTTGATCAGGAATTTTAAAAAGGAGCCAAATGGGGCACATTAAATTGTTTCCTTTGGTTGCCCATTACCAGTAAGGACATTTTCATCCTCTATACCCCACTTTTGTAGATTCATTGGTAGGAGTTTCATGGGATGCTATCTGTAGTGAGGAGTGTGCATGGAGTCATCGATTTACCATGTCTGCCAAGGACACAGTAAAGGGGATGCAGCAGAACATGAACTAGCCACATTTGCATCATCCCTGAACTAGTCTCTTCTACAACCGGTGACTCTTACTACCATCCTTGGGCTAGACGTTCTTTCTGGTCCTCGACAGTCTTACATGCTCAGCGTCTGGTCCCTCCCATTCAGAAGGAAGCACGGGTAAGATGCTGGCCAGAGGTGGGGTAGAGGGGGATGATGGATGATATTTCTGCCACTGTGTCACTCCTGAATTTTCATCACTGCATTCCTGATTTGACAGGTGATTTAGCGGCTCAGGCTGGGGAAGGACTGATGGATGAATCAGTCCTCTGTGCATGGCCGTTGGGCAGGAAATTAATAAGAATGCTAGTTGACATGATCTATGGTACTGTAAGCTCATTATGCCTGATTAGCTTCCAGCCTTTCACTCCCTCTGACAGCTCCAGGGCCTCGAGGTTTCCAATGGCAACTGTTTCCCTCTCTCTAACTGATTGCTAGGTCTCAGACCATGAAACCAGAACCTCCCACCAACTTGTCAGAGCTGGGACCTTTCTGCATTGTGTTACCTTCTCCTTCTTGGCAGTGGGAAGGTGAGCTCCTGGGTTGTCTAAGTGGTGCTGACAGTGAGGCACTTTGAACTCAGGAAACAAAATTTGAAGGGGTCAATTCAG